GCTGATTTCACCCCTGACTCAGGCTTACCACCCTTGGGCCTGCTTCCAGAGAGCCCAGCTGCATCCCCTTCCCCCTTCAAACCTAGTGGAAAGCCCTCTAAATCAGCCCTGCTAATTCACGGCTAGAATCCTTTTGCCCTTGATAGAGTGCATATGGCTACAGCAGGCCAAGTGCTGTGAAAGTTGCCCCATGATCAAAAACCCAAAATTCTGCCAATGACACCAACCCTTGAGCCACTTGTTGATAATGTGTGTTCTCCTGTTCCTTTCATCATTTATCCCTGCCACCAAAGGGACAGAGCAGGACACTACCTGTGCTCCTGCCCAATCAACCACTTGACCCAGTGCCCTGAGGTCCCTTTTAATTGCCCCGACACTCCTCTTTCCAGTCTCATAGTGCCAGCCTGGAGTATCAGCAGTGGGTGATAACCAGAAGGCTGAATCAGCCCAGGAAGTCTCTCAGAGATATCCAGGAAGGCAGCAGACCTGCCTGTGGGATGGGTCTGGTCAACGTATGGGGCCCTCTGTCTCCCTCAGAAGGGAGGCACCCACCATGACTGCCCTGCTTTTCTTTTTAGTGTCAGAGGCTCTGATCTGTCTGAATTGGAAGGCTCACTGTGCAGACAGTTTTCTTCTACATCATCGGGATCCAGGGCCTCATACCTATTTCAAAGTGGCACCTGGGTAGGTGATGGGGGTCAGGAGGAATTTTTATTACCTCCTCGAGTAGGGAGCCATTTCTACTCCCCTTCATCTACCAGGTGTCCTCCTTCTGCCTGATGGTAGGAGACAGGGGAGTCCTCTGACTCCTGGTGGGCTTCTCTCAGGGATGGAAGGGTGAAACTCCACCAGTCTATTTCCTTTTCACTTTCCCTAATACTCCTTAGTCTGCCTACTTCCTCCTTAAGCTTTCTCATTCATTCATGAATGTGAACAAAAGCAAAACAAGCCCCACTCTCCAGGAAACCCTGCCTGGCTTCCATAACCTGAGGAAAAAGCAGGGCCCAAACAGAACGAAAAATGCTCCACAATCCCTCTTTTGGAAACAAGAGATCACCAAATTGAAGGCAGCTGCCCAAGGCACTCCCAGCTCATAACAAAATTATTCTTGGAATTGTAGGGAATAATGCAATTAGAGAGAACCCAGTCAAAACACCTTAGCTCAAAAACTATACATTGGAGTTCAGACTCACTGCAAACCAAGGCACTTTGGCTGCTGCTCAAAATCATATGGGCTTTCCAGATAATGTGTCAGAATATCCCATCACCTTGAGCAGCCCAGCCAAATTTCTTCACCTCCACATCCATGAGGAGCAACAGTATTTCTTCCCCTTCCACTGTTCCCTCATTTTGTGGCTAGAGGTTTTTCCCAAATCAGCTGTTTCAAACCTACTGACTGCTCCAGTGAGGATTGACAGCACCTTCTCATGTGACAAAAGCAAATGCTCTCTCCTTTTTTAGATCTAACTCAAATCCAAATTGCTCTGCAACTTCTCTTTATATTATCAAGGCTTACAAAGCCCTCCCTTCCCTGAGCTGCCATCTTTGACTTTACTCTTAAGAGTTTCATTTCTCAGAGGAAGGAGAGGAAGTTTTTACACTGCAGTGCATCACTACAATAACACTATCCAAACACTAATATTAATAATCTGCATGTAACACAGCTGTTAATATAAAATAGATGCAGCATGTAACTAATTTTTCCAGATTCTATAGGTCTGTGATCATGCTAATATGTTTCACATGAAGGACTCATCCCTTTCTTTTAGATGAAAGCAAATGTCTGTGATTAGAAACAGAAAAACCAACTTAGGCAGACAAATACTGGACATATATTCATGAGACTGTAAAGCCTGAAAAAGGCTTGGAAAAATTCTCTAACTGAAGTGCTATTGAAATCTTCTGTAACACCTGATTTTTATGTCTCTCTTTCCAGATATAGTTATATCCATTAATGAAATTTAATCTGAAAAGGAGCTGGAAACCAAAACCACTGCAACAGCTTTGACATCAGAATATGAATGTCCCCTACACCTCCCTGTAGTTTAGAAATGAGATTTAAATTGCAGGTAAGTTTTTCAAAATGATGGTCTCTTGTTCCCTCCAGATATTTTTGCCATTGTTAAAAATGGAACTAAAGAATCCCAGAAGATCCACCCACATGTAATTGCCATCTTCAAAATGATAAACAAACACTAGAAACATATATTCCATTTGACTTACCTATTTTAGATCACCATATAAATTTAGTTTACATCTGTTAACAGGAATCCTTTGTCCAGTTTTCCATCTACTAAATATCCGCTCACCTCCCCCACCCCCGCAAAAAAAAAAAAAATTGAATAAATAATATCCTCCTTTATTTATCCGTTCTAGGTAAAAAGATGGGGAAAACAAAACAAACAAACAAAAAAGCAGTTTCTAGTACTTCAGCATCTATGACATCATTAATTTAAGTTCACCAAACCTAAACTTCACTTCTGACATGCATCTTTCTTTTGTTGAGAGTGAAGAAAATGGCAAAATTTCATTTTGCTCAAAGGGACTGAAAATGCAGCAATGATGCAAGATGAGGCTTTAGGTAACAAAGCTGTAACAAAGGAACCAACAATTTAATAACTTTACTATGTCAAGATATTACAAATAATGGCAGTTAGTATTTTATGGCTTCGTGTTGTAGGCCCCACGGTGCTGCTGTTGACTTAAGACTTTTCAAGTACAGCTCAATGTCATCCAGCAATCATAAGCCCAGACACCTTTGCACTGAGTTGTCAAACCTACATAAATCAGCCTCTCTGAGAAAAGAGCCCACTTACTATTGGTGAAAATATGTTTAATAGATAAGCTAATTACAGTTCTATTTTTGAAAACTTTACCAAGGCATTTAAAAAATTATACCTCTTTCTCAAGACACATAATCTTAATTAATAAAATCAAATGCCCAAGGCCAAAGCAGCACTGTGCCAAAGACACAGTACTGGTCATAACACTCCTGGTATTCTGAAAGCAATTTGTATCTCAGGAAAAGTGCAACATCTCTGCTTCAAAACTCTGCCTTCCAAACCTCAGTGTTGCTTTCTCTGAACCAATTGACCTAATGATCTCCTAGCCAGGACAAATTAATTCAAAATCCCACTGGATATTTGCCTGGACCTGTGCTTCCTGCTGCTACCAGCAGCTGAGAAAAGGGGACGGTCCCCTGGGACCTGGCACAATGAGGAGCAGTTGATGATGGCTTTTCCCACCTTTCTGTTAGGTAAGGCCAGTCCTTCATCCCAGCCTCTCACTTCTGTTCCAGCCCTGCACAAAGGAGACTATGGCAGCAGCAGCATAAAGGAATTCAACAAACATTTCATGTAGATAGAGAAGTATTCCTAGTGTGAGGAGCACACCTGCAAAGCTTTCTTGAGAAGGTACAATTGTGCCAGCTCTGGCACAGGGGGCAGACTCAGTGTGGCTACAGCACTGGCACAAAAGGAAGCATAAGAAGGTTGCTAACACTTATTTCCCACCCTTTTGAGCAAGGCAGATTCTGTCTGCTGGGAGGAATTAACCACACCTGCCATTCCCACTGCTCTGGTCTGGGCAGCACACCCTGAACCAGCCAGACACTGCAGAGCTTCTCAGAGCTAACAACAGAAACAGTTGGAGCTGAAGCAGCAGCTTCCAAGGACACTGTTCAGAGGGTACCAGAAAGATGTCAGGCATGTTTAAAGCTGTGGTAAGGTAAAAAATGTGATTTTGGGTTTATAAACAACTTCTGGAAAAAACAGAAAGACTTGTTTGAAGACAGGTCTTCTCTATGGAGGGGTTTGAAGACAACCTACATTTGAAGAGAAGATGTTCCTGCAAAAACCTCTCAGAGATAATGGGCAAACACTACTTGCTGGGCTATGTTTTCTAGATAATTTTTTCCTGGTAGACACTGACTCACTGAAATACATACCTCATTATTCAGTCTCCTTTTACTAACTTTTTTACCAGATACTTAATGAAAAAATGAAATCAGTGATAATTGCATCGTGACTTAACCAACCTATCATTTCTTGAAAGTCAGTTTCTCAGACAATGAAAAAAAAAAAAAAACAACATAAAAATAAAGAGAAAGAGAAAAATGAAGAAGTTCCCATGGTCTGTTAGGAGCCAGAAAACCTAAGTTCAGCTTTGTCAGGAAATCCCATCAGGGCTTTCCAGAGAGCTGCATGGAATTACATTTTCAAAAGGACTGAAAAGATTTAGGAGCATGTCCCACCGTTAAAAGTGATTTAGACTAACGACTTAAGCATTGTTGCATGCCCGGCTTTATGCTCTGTCCTGTCCAGCCCAGTGAGGGTTGGGGTTCTGCCACATCTCCTGGCAGATCCAGCTGCAAGGTGCAGGAACCCTGTTTCTCCAGCTTCAGGATGGAGGTGACCGGCCCCGAGCAGGAAGAGCAGAGGGGACAGGCACCGTTCCTGGTCAGCACAAAGCGCCGGTGGGGCAGGACTCTCCTCCCAGGACGGGCTGGGAACTGGAGCAGCTCCTCTTCTGCTGCTCATGGCTCAGCTTCAAAGCAGAACATCAAGGGAACTGCACCTTCTGTGCTGCCAACCCCTTCAGCAGGGCCATCTGTCACAGGTCACCAGACCCCAGCCCCAGGCACTCCAAAGCAGATGCCCTGACAGTGGCTTGCAGGCTCCCTGTGCCACATCCCTTTCTCCTGCTCCAGTCTGTGATTCCTTTCTTGTTCTAGTGAGAAGGCATTTTAGGAGAGATGCAAGGCACACAAAATACTTATGAAAGTAATTGAAAGTGTTTTATTCCACTTGCACTTTTACAACAGAACAACTATTAAAAAAATTCACCTACCATGGTACGCTTGACCTAAATTCTTCAGTGCTGTCCCTTCATTTTGTGCGACTAGAAATAAGTCCTAAATGTGTGAAATTTTGAACGTGAAATACAAAAATTGATGAACCTAGTAATGAACTGCAGTTTTCACTTTAAATTGACGGATTTTCTGGCGCTTTGTTTTTTATTGACAATAAATTACCATTCTGTGTCATGTAAGAACTTGTGGATTTTCACATGGGATAGGTAGAGTGCAATTTTGGCCTAATAGTTAAATTAGGTATACGGTTCTGCTAAAATATTTTGCATTAAAGGAGCTTTTCATTTAGGATTTCTATCGAACCATAATTTAAAAAAATGCAAATAAATGATTGGATGCCCTCCATCTCTCAGCTGCTAGATAAATCAAATAAACTTGGTCTAAACAAACTCTGAACTCCTGATAAATGCCCTGTATTCAACCACAAATCAGGTGTCAAACTGAGGTGAATGCACTGATATAAACTGGTTGCTTTTTCAGCATAACTGAAAAAGGCACATAAAACTCAAGCTGAGCCATTAGGCACATGTATGTGGCCCACAAGCAGATTTTAGCAATAAGGTCTACCTACTCAAGCTTTTTGCTGGATCAAGACTTCACGTTTTACCCATCCAAAGCTCCATTCCAGTTAAGAGAAATGTTGTCTGAATTATAGGCTGAGTAATAAATTAACATGGACCCTGACTTCTGGCCAAACATTGGTACCACATAATTTCTTTGCCATTGCAATCCTCATCTGCTGTGCTATCTGCTGTTTGAAGCTCATCTCACTACAAGTTTCCTAGGAAACAAATTTAGGCTCACACGTACATTAATGAGAATGGTACCACAGGTAAGTTTCGTTTCAGGTGATGGACTAGCCCTGCCCCTCAGCTTGCTTGCATTCACCCAACCTGACACTGAAAATGGTCCGGAGCTCAGGGGAAAGACTGAAAGGTCTGTGCTGCACCTTCTTTGTTCACTGCACACTTCTTTGTTCAGAAACATGAAACTTAATGCTTCTGAAAGTATGTTTTCTTTTTCCTGAGCTTTAAGTGGATGCCAGTTATGACAAAACCTGTCAGGATTGCTGCTGTGCCAGAAACCAGGTAGGCAATTCCCAGGAATGGGTTCCTTCCGCCGCTCCACACCACGGTTGAAAGAATCACATGCTTCCTCCCCTTGAATATGGTAACAGGGAAATCTGAGAGAAGGATGTTAAGGTTTCACTAACAAAGTCTACATTATTTCCAGAAGAAGAGAAAGTAATGTGTAAATGCTCAAAAAGGTTTCCAAGGCATAAAGAGTTTTGAGGTCTGCATTTGCTGCCAAAACTCCTTTAACTTATTGGTGATGTTTCTGCTATTCTGGATCCAAAAACCCATCTGGTCTTTAGGAGGTGGTAGGCAGCTGGTCGTAAGAAACCCAGTTATTTTAGATACAGTCTTTGTGTGCATGTGGAAATACTTCCTTTTTCAAAACATTGTAAATTTCAGATTCATCATTTATAGGAAAGCTACTGCATTAATTTGCTATGAAAGCTCAGTTGAAAATGGGCCTTTTGGGAAGCTCATCATGATACTCCACATAGTCTCTGTGAGCGTAAGTGCTCAGCTCTACCTAATATGTTGTAGCCAGAATGTTATATGAGTTTACCTTTCACCTCTCCCATGGAAGCTTTCAGAATAGAACCATGACAGAACATTTTATAACCCCATTTCTGTCAGCTGAGAAAGAAGAGAAATTTATGGTCATGTTGACATAACTCCTGCTGACAAAAGGAGTGCTTTAGTCAGCAGTTCCCAGTGTTGGCAGTTGCACCAGCAGAAGAGCTCTTGTCAGTCAGGACATGGCCCAAATCCCTCGAGGGCTCTCCTGACACAGGGGTGTTCTGCATCACTTCTTTGCCAGTTGACCACATAAACCCTATTCACTTCCATGTCACTGTAACTGCCTAGGAGCCTTAGGGACTGTGAAAGGATACTGTAGGAAATCTGGAAGGTGTAATTCCCCGCTGGCAGGCCCTCCGCGAAGCGCCGAACGCGCCTGACGCGCCGGTAGAGATTCCTGAACGTCGCGAAGGCCGACACTCGCATCCAGACAATGAAGTCATCGTTCACATAGCCATTGTTCCTCTCATCTTCCTCGTCCAACAGATACACTGGTTTCTGCCAGTAAGGAGGTCTGGCTGTCCCTGGTCACAAAGAGACAAAGCAGGAAAGCACTGTCAGTAAAAACTGTGGTTGCTGAGATTGTGGGCCTCACACAACCAACACAGAATATGAGTGGTGGAACAGACATTAGACACTGTCCAAAATTATATGTATGCCAGATAACAGCATCTCCAAGCATGTCCACTCAAACACAAATTGACAGTTTAACAGCACCCAGGGGCTGCTACACATTAGAACCTTCAAGCAGAGGAGAAACAAAGTGACTTGCACAAGTGAAAATGCTGTTTATTCTGGATTCTTGTCTCTTCAGCAAGCAATATGTTCTCTATAATGAGGAGCTGGCCTTCATTTTTACACATTAATATATTCCTGTACAACCAGAAAGGCAACTTTTTGCAGCCTAATGGCACAGCCTACGACATTTAGAATAAGTCCCATGAAAATTACTTAGATCATTAGCTCTTGCATGTTGCACCCAGCTCAGCACTGCCCTGATCCACAACAGGCAGCTTTTAGCCCCAGTTCAATAGAGATCAACCATAACAAGGAAATAGCCCTAGGAAACAAATCTGAAAGAATTAGTGACAAAGGCAGCCTCTCATGTCTCACAACTGCCCAAGAATCTGCAAAGGCATGAAGGAAAGATGGGACATGCAATTCTCCTTCACGGATATTTTCAACAGGAAAAAAAAAACAAAACAAAACCAATTGCTTCCTTGCTTTCTCTGCACAGATTAAGCATTACAAGAAACTATAAAGAAGGGTGTTGATGTGGGCTAACTTCAGTCTTCCAAAACCATTTTTTCTCAATTTCTATGGTCACTGATTAAAAAAGTTAAAAGGTGGTATTTTGGCTAAATGTGCCTTCTGCTATCAGTCACCCTCTAAACCCTGCTTCTTCAACTTGCTTTCTTGCTGTTTCTCCCAAAGGTGATTTTTCTGACAATAGCAGAAGGGGAGATAGGGGAAGCCATTGAAAAATAAGGAGCACCAGCAGAACCATTCTTACCTGCAAATGCAGAAGAGAGATTGTATGATTCAGGATTGCGGAATTTCACATTTTTATCTGTCCACCAACTGTTTCCAGTCTTCAGCAGTGGCACTTGAATCACAGATGAGTTATAATTGTAAAACAGATCAATAGTATCTGCAGGGAACACAAAAAGCAACATCTGTGAGTCAAAGACAGTCATTCTAATAGCCAGCATGACTAACAAAAAAAAAAAAAAAAAGGCACATTGAAGCATCTTTCAAGTGGATAGAAAACCTGAACATCCTGGGTGTATATGGAACACTGCACATTTCACAAGAAGAACTAAGGTACCAAAGTCTTGGAACTACTGAAGTTTTAAAGACTGAACATTTCCTATCAATCCCTGTGTATGTTGTAATGCTTCTCATGTCCATCAGCTCCTGTGGGACTACCTTCTTTGCAAATCACTTTCTGAGCTCTCTAGCTAGTTACAGAAGTTACTGTCCTAGCTAGTTTCTCCTAGAATTTCTTTGACAGTTGTCCAAAACTTTGCTATACATGATGTGTTTTCAGGGACTAGGGTAGAGATAAAAGCACAATCAAGGGAATCCAGTCCTCTGGAAAAAAAAAATTGCTTTATTCTTCTACCAGTTAGAGCTTGCTTACCAACTTGGACACAAACACCTTCTTCAATCAAAAAACATTTCGTTAAAATTGTGCCTAACTATGTCATCCAATTTCAGTGGGTGAACAGCACTTGTTTTTATCCATTACTATTTTCCTACATAGATTAGTCTAACATAAGGCAAAAACATTATAGGATGCATTAACAACCCTGTAAACCCCTAGGCAGCCAATGGGATGATGGGCAGGGACAATCAGACAATACAGATGGGGAGAAGTTGCCTTTTAGGAGACATGAAAAGCACAACTCAGCTGCATTGGCATCAATGAAAACATACATTTTTATTTCCTTCTACAAAACCTGTGCTCATGCAGCTCCATAAAGCTCAGACACAGTCTTCTGAGGAATGATCATTCTGTGGCCCACCACATCCCCAGCTATTTGTCACCACTTCATTAACAGGAATTGCAATGCTCTGAGCTCTGCCTGCTCAGTTGCTTTTCTTGACTCTCCCTCACGTGCTCCAGAACAGCGTGGGCTGCACACAGCTGTGCTCTGCTGGCCTAGGTCTGAGCCCAGCCCAGTAAATCCCACTTCCAGCAGCAGGTGGGTAAGCAAGCAGACAAAATCAAATGGATCTAGAAGTTACTGAATGCAACTGGCTTTCACAAGTCCCCTGGTGTGGGTGGTGCAGCTGCTTGCAAAGAGCTGCTGCCTTCTCACAACCTGCTCCATGGAACAGGCTAAAAAGGGTGAGAGCAAGGAGTGGTAGAAATTGGAAGACATAAAAGATGGGGTAGTGGAGAAAAGTCTGTAGTTTTTTTGTTGTTTTTCCTTCCAAAGATACATTCTGAAATCTCCCAAGTGTATTCAGAAACAGATGATGGCCACTAGATTACTACAAAGATCAAATCCAGGATCAAATTAAGACTATGTATGCTTCCAGCATTCTAGAACAAAAATGAAATTGGGTAGATCCAAAGATCCAAAGTAATGCAGAGAATGTGGAGAGTCCCTCCTTCTAAGTACAAGATTGTGGGAAGGCAGAATCTGGGCTCTCCCCTCACTGTATAAGAATGTGCCTTTTAGCACATTTTATGGGGTAAAGACTTTTTTCCCACACAGAAGTATGGGGAGATGAAAGTGTTAAAATTGTAGATATGGAGCAAAGGCCTCCATGTTAAAGTAAGCAGATGTTAAAGTAGCTGCAATACTATGAGAAGTTTGAACAGAGAAAGAGAGAAGAGTGATGAAAATCCTGTCCTCCCAGGAAGAAGATGATTCCAGATACAGAAATGAGAACCTTTGCCTTTAAACAGCTCGTCTTTAAAACAGCATCCCATAAGTTAACATAGCCATAAACACAGCTGTGGGAAAAGCTGTGGAAAATGGGAGGGATCTCATGATTACAGATTTCCCCAGAGGCTGCTATTCGTGGAGAGAGCCATGAGAGAACTGTTTTCTTGTAGATAATTCTCCATAACAGTAACAAGAGAGACTTCTCTCCCTAAGTGAACTGAAGAAAGGCTATTCTAGCTAAGAAATCTCAAATTAGCAAACCAAAACCATGACACCCTCTTAAGAACATGATTGTGGGAAGGCAGAATCTGGGCTCTCCCATCACTGTACAGGAATGTGCTTTATAGCAAGGAAGTACATGAAATCTGTTGTATCCTTGTTCCTTATTTCAAGAGGGCCTAAATTCCTCACTCCTGCTGTACACTCACATGGAAGTGAGCCTTAGAAAATGAGAAATCTCCCTCAGTTTCCAAACAAGGGCCAAGTTACTAAACAGTAGGAAGCAGAGCCTCACGTTCACCAGAGCAGCACCACCAAACAAAGCCTTTTATGGGAGAAAGTAGAGACCTTGCAGTACCAGGTCTGCCCTGGCCTGAGGCAAGGGAATAGTTTCAAGAGGAAATCAGGAAGGGGCAGAGGAAGGTCCCACGTACCATTGAACATGCTGTTGGCAATGGCCCCGCATGGCGCCATCGGGGTCCCGTTCCTGTAGGTGCTGAAGGGCGCGCAGTAGCTCCTCTGGATCTGCATTCAAGGTCACACAACAATCAGGCACAGACCTGGGGTTTGCTTTTAATTGGTGTCCTCCCATGCCTTCTTCTGAAAAGCCACTGAACAATTAAGTCTCCAGTACCTTTTGGTCACATTAGAGAAACATTATATGAATGGTTGTGTAGTTCAGGAACACCTTCCATATCTAGGCACAGAAACTTAAGGTCTTCACCAAATTCTGCTGCTGACTTGCAAGCTCCAGACTACAAAAAACAGGTTTGGGGATCTGCCATTGTAAAATGGCTACAACTGAAAATGTTCCATTAAAGCCTTGGCTTACCCTAGAACATCTTATTTACCTTCTTTTTAATTTTGACCTGGGCTGAATTAGTGCTGGAGAACAGCAGACGTAGTTGGCCAAATTACTGCAGGTCAACAAGGCCAAATCTTGAGGTATAAAGATCCAGAATGAAAAACAGAAGTCCACCTCAGCTTTACCACATCTTTCCTACCCCATTTTTAAAAGAAACTATAAATCTTCAACACGGAAACAATTTTCAAGTAAGTCCAATGAGCTGTGTATCTGATTGGCATAAAAGCCAAAAGCAGCTGCATCTGGATGCAAACAAACAAGCTGACGGGACACCTGGAGAGTTTTAAGAAGTGTTTTATAGAAATGAGGAACATGTCTTTAGAGTTGTAAGAAGCACTTTATAGAAACAACAGATTACCATGGCACAACCATCTGAAAGGACCTGTGGACCATGTCTATATTAAGAAATGCTACTTTTAAGCCAAAGAAAATATGTTTTAGATTTGTAAGTAAAAGAACCTGAATGCCATGATTGCATTCTCCAGTTTCCTGGAGGTCTGCTGCAGCTGATGCTGTCTACTCCCTCTTTAGACTTCTGGATTGCATACTTAGAATGCTATATGATCACTTATTTCAGAACTAACCTTTTTCTGCTCCTTGCCCATTTCCAAAGCCAGATGGCAAAATTAAAGACTTAGAATAACTTAATTCCCTAGCCCTATCTAGGTAATAACTTAATTCCCTAGCACAGCTTAAAACACTTCTGGCTAAGAAGACTGACAACACAAGAAGGAAAAGCTTTCTGTATTTTTATTTGAAAAAGACAATGTATTTTTAATCAGCACTACAAGGTGCAGGTTTGAGAACTGCAACACAGGAGTGACATCTTTTATTTACCCCCCACCCCCTTCAGCCTTCCTCTCTTATTAACTTATTAGACGTAATGGCCCCAACAAGCATAAAACACCAGGACCAAGCACTGAAAATCTGTACTTCATTATTCCCTAGAACCACCTAAACACACTTATGGCTCTGCCTGGTTGGCTCTCCATAAGGTCAAAGGCACACCTGCTGGGAGTGCTGCTGATCTCACAGCAGAAAAAGAAAACTTACATTTACATTTCGGCCCAACAGTTGCGCGTCACTTCTTGATATCACATATCGACGGTGGTTTTGATAGAAGTTTTGCAGACCATAGTACATAAAAACATCACCCTAGAATCCAAGGATAAATCCCTTCAATAAGGAGAGTTCATGAAGGCGATAAGAAATCCTATTACTTGCTAAAAAAGAGGGGAAAAGAGTACTCATATTAAAATGTCATATTGCTTAGACTACACTCTAAGCAATACAGCTGTCATGGGCTAGAATGTAATCTTTACCCTAACTGTAAGTTTTTATGTTTTGGCACAAAATTAAACATAATTTAAGTCACCAAACAAAACCTAAATAAACAAATTTAAAAAAAAATAAAAATGCTTGATAATTATTTTACTCAAGATGGCATGGCTGGCCATGAACTTGGAATGACTATGAATCATATTGCAGAGACAGACACTCATTTTCCATAAAAGAAGGTGCACAAAAACCTTCAAATCAAAAGAAGAATGCTGGGCAGGCAAATCATGGTAATTATGCAACTATAAAAAACCTATTACTCAGTTAAATAAACTTCTCATCTCAAACATCACTGTAATCTGAAAAATTACAAAGTATTTTAACAGCCTCCTCAATACTGAAGAATCCTAAAATGACTTTAAATTGCACTGTCATTTTAAGGGATCATTTATTCAGTACTAAGTATAAGATCTCTTTGGCAGAACGTGAAGCATTTTAACAGTCTCAACAACACAACCTGGTAGGTTAAGGAAGGAAATGAAGGACACTTTAAAAAAAAACAAACTTCAGAATCACATTGCTAGACTTGAATTATTTCAAGGACCTTGGGGATTAGCAGCACAACCCTTGTAAAAATGACTACAGGGGTCTACTTATGTAAAGTGGTCAGAGCTTCAGATTTCCTTCTCACTTGAGAGCTTAGCAGGGCAGCAACAACCAATCCCAGGCCAAGGGCAAAGCTTTGCCTCTGACTCAGAGAGAGACAGAGAGAGGTCACCTCCACAATCAAACACCATTTCCTCCACCCCCTTCTTCTCCTTGGGCATCCCCCAACCAAGGGGCCTGGTCTTGATTATAAACACCAAAATGAACAACAAAGGCAAAAGTGTAAAATTTTGAGCATTTCATGTTCAGAAAAAGTACAAAGCAAATTTAGTCAGGAGCTCTACAGAACAGAATTACTGTCTTTTATCATTTAGGGATATAAGTAACAGGTGGTACACAGCAACCTGAGTTGGTTTTTGCACCCACTTACCAATATATCTTCCTTTAGTGTGAAATTAATAGAACAGTGGCATTCCTTATTCCAGTTAGAGGAATTTTCACGGAGCTTTGAACAATCTGAGCATTTATCTGAATAATCTATCTGTCAGAGAAGTGAACAAGGAAATACATTGTAATAAAGGACATGCTCATAGGAAAAGGTTAGTGTTTTAGTTCCAAGGCTTCTTAGAGCTGTTCTCTTCTAAGTGACCATGGGCTGCCAAAAACATTGCTGAAAATGAAGAGGCAAAGTGAGGACTTGGCCCCAATGAACAACCACAAAATTTATCTATCCCTATTTTAAAGCTGGTTCAAAGCCTTTTGATGACTGTTGCAGAGCTTTCATGTCTGCTCCTCAGCAAAGGAGTGCTGAGTGAAGAACACTCCTGCACCTTGGGCTGGCTGACCAAGCAATGCTTGACAAATCCCCACATGCATCATGGCCCACCCCCTCTGAACAGCCTGGGTGTAGTGCTGAGTGTTGGCTCCAATCAGGAGTCTATACACAACACCACAGGTCTGACTAACTTTTTCTGCAGGAGGGATTTAAACATTAGGGCTCCATGTATTTCAAGATCTTGCCCAGCAAACATGTATGTTCTTATACTGTCAAACACTCTCTGAGGGATTTGCTTATTTCCCTTCAAAACCCCAGAAGATAATGACAAAATTTTGGTATTAGCAGTAATTATCACCCATATTTCAGATATTACCATCCAGTTAATCACCCAGTGCTCTGATTTTATTGATGACTGACTGCCTCTGAAGACTTTCACAGGAATACCAGCTGCTGGACACATGTCCAAGGCATAAAGCCATTGTTATCATCTTTATTCAAAAGCAAAAATTCAAAGCTTTTTCTTTCCAAACCTGGCCTGGTTTCTACTTTACAGAATATCAAAGAACAGCACTCCCAAACCAACCTGTATTTCTCTGACGCTGTTTGCAGACAGGACAAGGCAGACTCCCACAGCGAGGCAGAATGCCCCTGTCAGAAAGAAGCTGGAGAGCACAGATGCAATGGTGAGCTGGGGCTTCCAAGCTGGCAGCCTCTGCTGTTTGAATGCACTGTTATCTGGACACCTGGAAGGCTGGGCTTCTCCTTCTCTGGGAAGAGCACTTGTCTTGTTTTTCATTTTCTTCTTGGTGAGAGAAAGGAGTAATATCCTTGTGCTGGAGAGTTTTTCAGCTGAGATACTGTCTTTATTGCTGGGAGACTTTATTCGATGTTCAAACTTGCATTATGGTGAGGAATTACTTATTAACTAGATCTCTCCTTCCTTGTTTTCTGTATTTGTGCCTGGATCCCCATGATCAGCTTGTACCAACCAAGTGATTGTGTACTTTGATCAGGGTGTCCAGTTCATTCCTCCTAGAAAAACTTAGTATCTATTTTTCCTGCTCCACAGCTCATTAGGATTTGTTATGACTTATTAATTTGCAGGGATACTGGCAGCTATACTGGAATTTCTGTGTAATTTCAGATGCGTTATTTCTTCTCCCTGCACTTCCACAGCTGCCCAGCTAACAGGCATGGCATACAAGGAAAGGAGTTCTACTCCAATTGCACTGGATTCCACTGGGGAGGACTGCAGGTGCTCAGACAGCACTGGACAGAGAACATGGCTTTGGAAGACCAAACCAATTTTCTTAACCTATTACATTCATTACTATTGACTTAGATGCAATTAAAGGTTGTGAAAAGGTTGTGTGTTCTTTATCATAGAAGGACAACTCATTTTTAAAATATCCAATTTGGATCAATGGCTTTCCAAGGTACTTAGAAATACTTTGGATCAAATACTTTCCAAGGTGAGTTCCTCATCTCTATTCATCTAGTTCTCTGAAAAAGAATCCATCCATTCCCTATTATCTACAATGACAAAAGAATCACCCAGAGATCACCTCATTTTAATTTAAATGGACAAACATAAGAATACTTTTTGCACACTTTAACAGTTTAACCAAAATAAAATCTCAGTACAGTATACAGATAATTTATCACGTAAGAGCAAAAAGCAGCATTTGGCCAGCTCTAGAACAGATAGATGAAAAATACCTTTTTAACATGTTACTGAAATTCATAACTCTTTCAAAGACCCTCCAAGAGCAAGTAGATTACCACTCTCAGAGAGAAATACATGTCTCTTTTAGGACAGCACAGGGAGGGAACAGAAAACTGAGCTGTGCAAAGACTTTCACACCCATATTCGCTCATTTTCAAAGTCTGACTAGTGAGACGTAGTAGTAAATCTAGCAGGTGAAAGAAGTGTAACTCTGATTTCCATATGACATTGTAACTGCAATAAGAATAATACTAGAACTACAAACAAAACTTCTGGGGTTTTATTAAAAGAAAACAGAAAAAGTTGCAATGTGCCTTCTGTATTGAGACCTTGGAAAAGTCAAAATTCAGTTGCAGACAGGATAATAGTAAAATGCAGCTGCAAATTACTTCCTTGTTGGTAAACTCATTAAAAGAGTCCCAGCTTCACAGATCCATCTCTGCACAGCTTTATAATACTCTTCTCCAGTAGGTCAATTGTTTCTTTCTTTATCTGAAGAAAACAAAAATCAAAGAAAGCATAAGAAGTTACTGATAATGACACCATTATTTATTTACTGAGGCACCTTATTATAGGCCTAGAAATTAAAGAAAAGATTCCTATACAAGGTCCTCTAGAACATTTTCAGTTTTTAAAATACCCACCATTTGCCCTGCAGCCCTGAAGTCCCATTTCACATGGCTACAGAAAGGTTGTAATTGGCATTGTTGATAAAGCACACCACAGCAAAAGGCCCATCCTGGGCTACAGAATCCATACAGAACTCTCCAGAGGAAAAACTGCCTTAAAGCAGATCAAGGGCAGTGCAACAGGCACAGCCCTGTCTGTGTCTGGGACACCTGAATGAAAGTGAGCATGAAGGTCAGGTCTGCCTGTGCTGTGTACAAAGTACTTTGTTTTATGACACTGGTATAACTGTGGCTTATGGCTTATCTAAAGATAAAACAAATATATTACAGAGTAAATATTGACTACATATTTCAGAGGGAACACAAGATTCTTTATCATCATGCTTAGTCCAGAGTTTCCTTATAGCTCCCTCTTACCACTTACAAATCACTTGTTTGCAGGTTTTCTCTCAGGATTCTATTCTTTCATGCCTCCACTTTGCAGAGGAATAAATGATGTAAGAAAGCCCAGCCAGCCTCAATTTCAGACTGGATGTGCTACATGAAGGTGAACACAGTTGTCTTGCTATCACAAGCCAATTCTCACAAACCTTTTATTTTCAAGAAGTCTGAAACTTAAGCAGAATATTTTCAAATTTACTGAAGGCTTGGTGTGTGTATTATTTGCACACAATATAGTATTGGGTTTTGGTAAAAAAAACCAACTTCATTTGAATTTTAGGAACAAGTAACTTACGGAGTTGAGACAGCTCTGTATTGCCACCAACCTGTGTACAAAGATCTTTCAAAGCAGAAAGCTTGTCCTTTGCTCAGACCAAAAATTACACAATCCATTTTGATTTACAACTTTATGCTTTACTTCAATGCCAAGACAAAGTCTGATAAACTCATTCACTCCTCCTGTGGTTTCTTTGGGAGCTTTCATCTCCTTCTCTCTCCATTGTTTGGGATGAATGAAGTGGGAGACACAGAAACAGAGAATGAAAAATTCCAGCAGCATTAACTAATGAGGTGCTGAGGGAGCTGACAGAGCAGCGGATCAGGGCACCATCCCTTGTTTGGATATGATGGTATACAGAACTGCATGTGGAAAGATCCATGTGGTTTTAAATTAATATATTTATTAGAATATAAATATAATACTATAATAAATATATTATAACATTACATATTATAATACTATAATATATTATTAGAATAGAAATATAATTCTGTGTACATCATTCTCCACTGAACATCAGGTGACTACCAAAACACCAAGTACAATGGACATGTGCTTCCAGTTGTTCTTGCTTTCTGGTTTAAACACAATGAAATTCAGCAATGTTGCACCTTAAGTATGCAAGGAAATTATTGATAATTGAGGTTTGCACTGAAAATAGGCCAGTATGCTGAGTTTCTGACTTTAAGTGTACAATTTTGCCTCCATAACTAACATAGGTGAAAGAAATTATTACATCAAACAGCCAATTCTCTGAATTGTATTTGGTACTCTCTTTCCTCTCTCTGTGAAAACTTATGACTATTCATAGCATGTATTTGACATTTTTCTCTACAATTAGCAAAGCTGACTAGGACTGTATTCCATATTTGAAGCCCACAAGCTGCTAGAACATCCCATTGGTTTATATGTGATGTTAAGATGCCTTACCACCAAAACATTATTTGAGTGTCTTTCACTGTTGACATTCCTTATTCATAACTTTAAGAAATCTGCCTGATGTCTGCAGTGGGATAAATGCTTGCAAAATACTCAACTTATAAAGCCCAAGATGTCAAAAACCTTCCTTTATGATGTGTTCCATGAGCCAAGAGCAGTTTGAAGACTTTTCTGTAATTATATATTCACTACCTTGTAATCACACATAAATATCTATTGCTTCTCCTAACACAATATTTGATGGTCCAGTGTTCTTACCTACTGGATTTAACTTCAACTAAGCTTTAACTTTTTATGCTAAGACAGCCTTAGGATTTTGCCTTAATAAAATAGACTTGGAGTCACAACTTTTGGCCTATATTTCTAGACAGACACACAGAACTACTATGATGCTGCCTACAGTGAGCTGAAAGGTATACTTGAGGTTTGCAATAGCCCAAAATTAAATAGTGGCAACATAATCTTAATTTTTTGGAGGTGGATCACCTATGGTCTACTTTACTGATGTTGACTTCAGATGACTTAAAAAATCCATCCCACTGCCATCAACATCTTTTGTACTGCCTGTGATTTTGTACTGTACTGTCTGTGATTTCATGTTTTCTATTCTTTACAAAACTTACAGATAAGTGTAAGCACCATACAAAAAAAGCCTTATGTATTAGCCACAAGAGGGAGCCTCCTTGCCACCAAAAAAGCAAAAGCAGGGGTTTTGTTGCTACTTCATTTCTTCAATGTATTTTTTTGTTTTGTTTTGTGTATGTGGGGTTGTAAAATGCAGCACATTCAAATACTTAGACAAGTACATAGATGGATTAATGATTGATAATTTGTTTCACTTGAGAAACAGCTTAATGTTTATATGCAAAAGAAGTCCTGTTCCCTGGAGATTCCTTTCATATATGGGCCTGCTCTAAATGCACAAAACCTCAAGACAGTGTGCAGGAAATTGGGAGCTTTCTAACGAACACTAATAGAGGAAACCGCCTCTTCATCTGGCTAGAAATAAGTGATGCCCCATAACATATGGTAAACATAGCTTGCTACAGCAAGAAATATAAAATCTGGATTACAGAACTGTAAAGAATTGGGAATTAACTTAGAAAGAGTGTACAAGTGATGGGTCTAAGTTGTTTGTTCTCTACTTCTTGTCAAAAGAAACAAAAAAGAAAAGAAAATACAAGAAAGAAAAGAAAAAACCAAGAGAACTGTCTGTAGATTTACTCATATGATGTTATCTTGCTCTCAGGTGGAGAAACATAGACGTTTGGCCATAGTTTTGTTTAGTTTTTGAGGAAACTTCACACTGAATCACAGTATATGGTGAGTTGGAAGGGACCCACAAGGATCAAGTCCAAATCCTGGCCCTGCACAGGACACCCCAAGAGTCACACCCTGTGCCTGAGAGCGTTGTCCAAACACTTCAGGTCTGTCAGGCTTGGTGCTGTGACCACATCCCTGGGGAGCCTGTTCCAGTGTCCAACTACCCTCTGGGTGAAAAATCTAATATCCAACTTAAACTCCCCCTGATACAACTTCAGGCCACTCCCACAAGTCCTGTCACTGGTCACCACAGAGATCAGTGCCTGCCCCTCCTCTCCCCCTCACAAGGAATTTGTAACTGCAGTGAGGTCTGTCCTCAGCCTCACTGAACATCCCAAGTGACCTCAGCCCCTCCTCATACAGCTTCCCCTCAAGGCCTTCTCCATCCTCATTACCCTACTTTGGACACTCTCTAACAGCTTTATACCCTTCTCATGCTGTGACCAGACTATATACAATATTCCAGGTGAGGCTGCCCCAGCTCAGAGCAGAGCAGGACAATCCTCTGCCCTGCCCAGCTGTGATGCTGTCCCTGATGCTCCTAGGACAGGGTTGGCCCTCTGGCTCCAGGGCACTGCTGGCTCAGATTCAACTTTCCATCGACCAGGACCCCCAGGTCCCTTTCCATGGTGCTGCTTTCCAATGTCTCACTCCCCAGTCTGTCTGTACATCCAGGGTGCCCCATTCCAGGTGTAGAATCCAGCACTTCCCTCTGCTAAATTTCACACAGTCGGTGATGCCCATCTCTCTCATTTGTCTAGGACTCTGTACAAAGTCCTCCTGCTGAGGGAACTTCCTGGGCACAGGTATCCATCAAGCATAAACAGGGGAAACTCACAGCACAACCACAGAAGTCACAGCTGTGACTTGCAACAATAAAGGAAAAATTCTTTTTCAGGAGATAATTTTGAGACGCGTGAGTACAGACTTCTCAGTCAATGTGAACTTTGTGTTCCTTTACCACTGAAGACAGCTTTACAGAAAGAAAACTTTACTAACCAAGACCTGAGAGGTACAAAAAAAAGTACTTAATACATAGAACATAACATATACAGGTGCTTATACAATACCTCAGGGATGTCCATCATTCTCCTTAGTTTTTGATCTCTCCAGTTCCAATCCAGAATCACATATTTCGTGGAGTTTAAGCACAGGGCATCTAAAAAGGCAACATAAATTTACTACCAAGATAATATGACATGTGCTTATCAAAATGATTTTTGGCTTTTACATATTTTGCTCTCTGTTTCCAAGGAAACTAATCTTTGAACACTTAAGTACTACATTTGCTGCTTAGAAAACTAATGCACTGACACTGCAAACTCCCTTAGCCACATAATCTCATGCCTTTTTGGAAGATAAACACAAAAGCAGAACAACTACTGTTGCCAGACTTGTCAAGAGCTTAACATCCTGCCAGAAAGTAATTCCTCAAGCTTCCTCTTGATGAAACCACAGGAGTTGAATTTCCAAAGCTGATGTCACTGGTAAGTTACAAGGACCCTAACCTGAAAATTGATGTTAACAGGAACAGACAGTGCTCAGCAATTTACAGGACAGGGTGCTCTGTGAACATGAGTCAGGTCAGTGGTGCTGCTGAAGAATTCCTTTATCCTTCAAATAAGTGGTGGTGAATAAAAAGGTCCCCTCTGAACTTCCTTTTCAGCTGTTCTCCTATTTTTTCTCTGGTCTTCTACATGATGCTCACCAATTTTTCCCATCAGTTTTGATTCCTCTCCCTTCCCTAAGTGACCTGGCACTGCAACACTACACTGTCAAAAAAGAACTAGAGCTTGGGATAAAATTTCTTCCAGGGATGGGGCATCCACAGCTTCTCTGGGCAACCTGTTCCATTGCCTCACTACTCTCATGGCAATGTGCTGATGTGCTGAGCACTAACATTTAATGTTGGTGGAAGCAACAAAATAATGTTACTCCTGCACTCTTTTGGAAGGAGCAGTAGAGTCCCAAACCACTGCCACTCCCTGACCAAGAGACCACAGTCAGAGCAAGACAGTGTCATGCATAAGAGGAATAGAAAGAATTGACTTATCATCTTGTCATTTTGTTGTTTCTTTTTCTTTGTGTACGTACTGTCTACTGAGTAAGTAAAAATACTCAAAATTTGGGAAAAGATTTATAGAGAATAATTAATTTTACTACAGGCAAATGAGAAATAAGATCAAATCAGCAAGCAGATCTTTCATACATCCCTCACAAAAGTTTACACTAAGCTCAGAGTAACATAAGATACAGTGACTTCTGCCACTATTTCCTTTTGATCCACTTGCAGTGTTTGGTTTCCTGGAGCTTTAAATCTCACATTATGGTTTTGCAATCACTTTCAAGTCAGCATAAATCAGTATTCCTGCCAAAAGAGGAAGTCTCCCACCTCTGCCTGCTCATTACCTGATTTTGTGTGACAGGTTTTGGTTTAATTGGGGTCATTTCACTGAGCTGCCAAACAGACTTTTGGGCTTGCACAGGGAGCAGGAAGAGGGAATAAGCACTGACTGGCAGGTGAGAGGAAGCATTTCTCTGCCTTTCTCTGCTAATACTGGCTTATGACAGCTTAAAGTGATCATAAAACAAAGTACCAGAACCTTGACCTTGTTTTGACTGACATAGTGAAGACAAGTAGTGACTGACAAGTGAAGAAACAGAACCATACAGTTTAGTACCCAAATCTGTATGTTCATGTCAACCTAAAAAAACCCACCAGTTTAAATTTCACTTCTCATGAGACCAAATATAAAATGCCTAGGGAGGAAACCCTCATTCTCCTACCTTGCTCCACTAGTGCCTTTACTCTCCCAGGAGTTCCAACCCCAATGTGAAACATGCCTTTCTCCAACATATTCATTTGTTCCTTTATCTAATTTGAAGAAAGAAAGAAATATCAACAGTAAACCCATAATTGTTTTAAAATTTCTTCTCAAGGAATTGGAAATAAATTCAAGATCTCAGTGTATTTCTTTCTAGAACACCATCAAGTAACAAATTATATTTGCCTTTCAAACTGTCAGATGATTATATCTGGAAGAAAGTTTAAGAAATATAACAAGCCAGCTGGGCATCACACTTCTCTAGAAGTTTAATCTTTTTTAACTTTAAAAGTCTGCTATTGCACCAACTATTTTTAGAGGTGAGAACAGCAAGATTCCTTCAGCATTTAAACAAATGCTCAGGAATACTGAAAAATTTGAATTAACTCTGAAGTCCTTCAAGATGAAGATACTGGAAAAAGGTGAAATAAAGCAAATGACATTTGTGTGTTTGACAGCATTTATATCAAAGGCCAAATGTCCACTCATTACTCCCAAAACCCCCATAATTTGTGCTTTTTAACAGGTATGGATACTGGGGATCCAGGCATTTGATTTTCAGAATGCAAATGTGGGTGGTGGACAGTGTGCTTCCACAGAGCTGCACGTGTGAGCCTTCTGGCACTGAATGAGCACTTGGTGGGAATGTGGAACAGTGAAACTCAGCAGGTGCACAAGCATCTACATTCTGCATAGGGCTGCACCAGAGCTACTGGAGATGGTGCTTAGTGAAATTCTTCACACTGCAGCAATGGGCTACCAAAGGAAGCACTACCTAAAGGAAGGAACTTCATATGAACACTAATGAAAGGCACTACTGCCAAAGGATTTAAAAAGAAAATCATATCACACTATTTAGCTGCTTACTTGCTCTATTAAAATTCCCTACCTTTATGTGCTTTGCAAACAACTTGATGACTCTGCAATCCCCTTTAAAGGCTGTCATTGACCTAATAATGAAAAAAATGAACGGTGAAATACAAGAAGCAGGGCTGGGCCTAAGACCACACATGAGGAAAGAAAAACCAACTGGCATTTCTCAATACGTTTGAGACACACACAGTCCCCCAGTGAACTCTGGTTGTACTCTGAACACTGTGTACATTCTTGTTTGCTACTCATCAACAGAGATCAACAACTGGACAGACACAGTGGAGAATATCAGGGCAATATTGTTTAGATAGCTTGTCAGATAATATTTAATATTATGGCCTGTGCTTTCACAGCTAGCTTAGGTCAAAACTGGTTAATCACCAAATCCTCATTAAAAAATAATTCAGTTACTAAGATAGAGGTATTAATGAATATGGGTGTGTGTGCAGAAAAGGAAGGATCTGTGTATGGACAAATCTATGTTTCACAGTCTTCCTGCAGCATGGCAGTTGGGAAAACCTAGGCTGCCACTGTCTTTACTGTAGACATTGTCCAAATTCCAATTAACCAAACGAATTTGTTAGAAACCTTGACTTGTTTTTCTGACACTCCATTTCGGCACACCAAAATAACTCTATGTTCTGTATTCATCAAATAGGAGACAATATATTCAGTATTTGTTGAATGTCATTTAAGACAGCTTGTTCTGCATGCTTCTTGCAGGGCAGCAAATTTTTAATTTGCAAAGCTAAAGGTTTATCTACACCTAAACCACCTAAGTCTCAGGTGCTAGTCTCTGCATGCACGACCGGCACTTACCTGCCTTATCTATGCTTATATCTGTGTCATGGAATCAAAACTTCCCAAATCTACATCTCATTTTGTACTGACAGATAAGTAGGGTCAAGACCACCATGAAATTTGTGAGGTATCCATCAATTCATCAGAGTCATCAAAACTTCTGGCATGAGAAGGGGAAAAAACGGGGGGAGAGGGCACACTGAAAATTGTCATCTCTGCCCAGCAGTTTTTCCAGCCTGAGCCGGCTGAGAACACTGACACAGACCTGGAGGCACTCAGGCCAGACACACCTTGGCACCTGAGGCCCTGAAATACCATGTCCTTGCTGCCTTTGGTGCAAAGCCTTAACTACTAGTGGTGGATCATCATTCTTCATGGGCTTACTCTGTTCCCAAGTATAACATGTTCCATGTTTCCCCTAAATTGGTTACACTTTACTTTTGGTTTTTAACAAAAGTAACACTTCCCAGGCAACTGAAATACTGAGCATTACTTGAGTCCAAAACCGAACACCACGCTCCCAGAGTTTAAAGAAGGAAGGGATATTGCATCAGTTTGAGTCAGTGAATTTGCTGGCTAGCAGAGGACAGTGTCCCAGTTTTGCCTTTTTGCCTGTGGTTCCAAGACAAAACTCCTGACCGACTGCCAACCTCAACACAGCCTTTGCTGTTGACATACTTGATGAGTTCCAAGGAGCGAAGGGCAGAGCTGCAGAGAACCAGCATCACCACGGACTTCTTCTCCTTGTGGCTTCTCCGGAGCTTCGCCCACTTAGGACAGACTGCAATGGAAAAGCCCTTGTACCCACACAAAGTACTGCATGCCACAATTTTAAATTACTAGAGTACATGATGAATGGTAGCCAGCAGCAAGAACACACATGCTGACTCCTTTGAGGTCTGGAACTTTGGCATCACTTTCGCATTTAGTCATGGCTGAGAAATCGGAAAATGGAATGCCCAAAATAAATATAATACAGAAATATCACATAACTGAAGAAACTAGATAAGCATTAACAATCAACAGTTTTTAAGGTGATGAGCCTATTGTCTTCATTTGCCACATATGGCAATTTTTATCAGAGAAAATAATCTGCAAAGAAACATTTACCAGACCAGAAGTTCTACATAAATATACAAGAGAAAAAAAAATTCACTTGGTTCATGTCAGCAGCCAGCTGCAGGCCTTTCATTCTAAGATAATACATACACCTACTCATGAAGCCACAATAAATTACTGACAAATAATCTCTAGCAATTATAAGAAAGCCTAGAACATTCTTGATACCAAAAAAGTGTGATAAACTAAATAAGAGCCAGAAAAACAATACCTGCAATTAAAAAAAATAATTAAAAGCCTTAAAGTAATTAATATTTCATAATAAACAATATTTGGAGCTACATATAAAAATGCAGCAATATTGTCTAAATAATATTTTTCATATAACTTTCATCCAGACCAACATTTAAACTCACTTTCCTTCAGGTATGAAGAAAAACTGTGGGTAAGATCATTGGCTGGCAAAAAGCAGGAGTCTGAAAACATAAAGAAAAAAATATTTTTTGTTGGTGTGTCTTAACAGCAAAGGGAGAACATATGTTTGCAGCAAAACTGCTAGTTATGTTGATGAAATCTCACCTTCATAAATCCATCACCAATAAATTACCATTTCTGAAACAAAAATTAATATAGAAGAAACTTTGTATGGGTTAAATCAATGAAGGTAACACCTCTGAATTGCAATTTCTTTTTTTTCTCCCAGCCTGAAACCTTGAATACTGGGCTGCTGTGTAAGTGTGATCACATGCTTTCAAGAAAGTTTTCATATGTCTTTGCCACAATGAATCAAAGCTCAGCCAAAAGCCTTACACCCCTAGATTGTTCCTCCAATGTACCTGTGATGAAATATGTTTGTACATCCCCCAAATCATTCATACTGTGCAGATGCAAGAATCTACCAATAATTTACTTGTCAGTAAGTTTGTTCACCTTTGTGGCAACCTACCTAACTACATCAACCCTGACAGCAACACCTTCACTGCATTTTCAGTGCCTTTCTCTTTTCTCATTTCCTGCTGACTTCCTTTTCTCTGGTCACTGTGTTAACTAGGAAGTCTTTTAAAAGCACTCTGTGGCAGACATGCCATTTAACTTCATATAATGGCAAAGAAGATCCTAACAGGTTCTTTGGAAGGTCCTTTCTCATGCCTATACAGAAAATCAAAGTTCTTGAAAAGGTGATGCATGGTCTGAAAACTTGCCACTGTTGTTAAGGACTCTGCCTGATGGAACAATATGCTTTTGCAGAGCATTAACAATTCTTTTGTCCTTAAATACTTACATATTTGTCTTACCATCTTGCATGAAGCACAGCCCCTCAGGGTGTCCATGGATGTTTGCTGATAGATTTTCTAGACTAAAGAGGTTTCTTCAAAGAATCATTCATGTTCACATGGATGATGCACTATGCTAGTGCTGAGCATCAATCCAAGATCTTCATCAGAACAGACAATGTGACAAACTTGCTTTGTAGCCAATGCCTGGCTCAAGTCCTGCCTTGCTAAAAACTTTTATTTTGCGCTGATCATCATTCATGTTCACATGGATGATGCCCTGTGCTAATGCTGAGAGCATCAATCCAAGATCTTCATCAGAACAGACAATGTGACAAACTTGCTTTGTAGCCAATGCCTGGCTCAAGTCCTGCCTTGCTAAAAACTTTTACTTTGCACTGATTCCTATTAAATCCTGAGACTGACATTTACTGTAAGTTGAGCTTCAAAGGAAATGCAACAATATGCAATATGTACAACTGAAGCATCAGCAGCTGATTTACTTTAAAAATCATGTCTAAAAGATGCACTTGATGCTGGTGGGGATGGGCAGGGGCTTATCTTCTGAATACATGGTCTCATTAATGATGACAGTTCAAGAGATCCTTTCTGAAGGACACAGCTTCAGTCACTGACTCCTCACCAACAGTGCAGCAACATTGCAGTATTTACAACAGTTTTAAATAGAAGTTTCAGAAAGGGGGGAAGAAACACACAGCTCCAGACCATGCTGACTTTCTGACCAACCCTGACCTTCTGCACTTTGCCAGCGAACAGGAACACACAACTCCAAAGTAGCTGCTTGTTACTGACTCAGTGCTTTGACGTGAATGACTTGACAGCTGTACAAGTTCATAAACTCCTTGGCACTCTAAGCCTTCAACTCCCAGCAAAAAAAAAAATAAGGAAAAAATATAGCCATCCAACACATATGGAAATGGATCCCTTCAGTAGCCCAAAGGGCTCTTTTTAATAAGAAAGAAACCAAACCAATTTATTATTTCCTAAAACTCTTATATACCAAAAAATACTTAACACAAGCATTTCAAAGAAATCAATAAGGGATTTCTCCAGGTTTCTTTGATCCAGTAACAAAGCTGAGACTGCCCCACAGAAATAAAGAAGGGTCCACCTAGAATCATGGGGATTAAGGAACAGCACATTTACCTAGAGAGACAGGCTTATGCATTAATAAAGCAAAAGCACTGCTGGACTAGAAGGCTTCTGCATTGGGCATTGGTCACTGACAGTTCAGTAAGTCCCAAGGTGAGTGCAGATTGGTTACCAGCCTGCTGCTCTTCATGAGCCCTCCCAACAAATAATGGACAGTGTCTCTGTCTGCACAGGAGAGGCAGAGAAATTCAGTGTTGCCATCATTTCCAATGCAACCCCCAATTCACAGAAGCTAAGCCTGCTCTGTTCTGCTTTTTGCCTCTTCTATTTGGCTTTTAACTGGAAGCAGGATACAGGCAAAAAAAAAGGGTCCCCATGGCTAAAATTTGGTCACTTCACACATGGATCAAAATTATCACCTCAATTCATGCCACTCCCTAAAAAAACCACTGCATTCAAAATCTCATGCCCATATGAGAATGATGCCTCATTATTTCTTTGTCTGTTTCTGTGAGCCCCTTCTTATGCACTGACTCAGATAATCCCAGGAACAAAATACATCTCTCACAGCTGTGGAATCATAAAGGAATCATAAAGGAATCATAAGGAATCATAAAATTATTATCAGAAAGGTGAGCTCAGAAATTAACACTTTGTAATAAAAAGAGATATTTAAACAATGTTTTATTTCCATTCCTCCAAGCCACCTCACATTTATTCCAAAGAAACTAACATTTCAACTTAAACAGCAAATTAATATACAGTAAAAAAGAAATATAAGAAAATATTTTCATTAAAAAGTACAACTCAGTTATGCCCCAAAAATCTTCTTTCCTCTGCAGAAGAAGAAGTCAATAGTATAATGAAAAAACCATTATTTATATATTAAATACAGGATAAATTACCTGACAGCTTTAATTCCTCTATTTCAATCACAGAACGGTTTTCACCGAAATGTTGAGTAAGCAGATTTTGTAGATCAGCAGGGACACCAGGTTTTGGAGCAGATTTTTGCAGAACATCAGAAATCTTCTTCTAAAAAATCCAAGTAAAATGGATTAATATGGTATTTCTATACAGCTCTTTGGCTAGCTAACAACACTGTACATAAATGTTCTTCCATATCTTTATACAGTTACAGCAGTTTAATTATGGCTTAATTGGGAAATCACCTTACAATGGGACAAGATTCCCTTTGTCTTTAGAGGGAATGCAGACTTGAGATGCAAGCTGAGATATTTGAACAAGATGGTCTGTGAGCCTGAGCATTAAAAATCTTGTGCACTCACCTGAAATGCTGCTGTAACAAAAATATAACTGAAAGCTGGTTTTTGAGTTTTGCTATTGCTACGCTTTAATATCAGATTGAAAATTCAGGCTTTTTTCTCCCCTAATTTATTGTAGTTTAATATTCTTAAGGCATAACAACAGGAATCAAGTGACAGTATATGATGTGGTTATATTTTGATTTAAACAGAGTAACTATCTATCTATCCATCTATATTTGGAAGGGAAGATGGTTAGTTATATGCATAGAATACCATGCCAGGATGACGAAAATTATTTAAAACAACAGAATCACAGGTCAAGCAGCAGGAACTCACAGCTGCTTTGTTCTCTCACACTGTAATTTTTTTTAAAAAAACTAATAATTTTTAGAGACTGAACATGAGTTCATAATGATTGTGTTTTGCTCCTTAGGAATGTTATTAAGTAACAGGTCTGAATTCTCACTGAAGTGAAAGGATTGCTGTACTTTTTGCCATAATTAAATGGAATATGTGGGTAGAATAGCCCATGGTTCCCATTGACTGATCTGCCAGCATTTAAGAAAAGCAAATGATAAGTATTTTAGAAAACAGCAAATTTGCAAGGATAGAGGCAGTCTGGAGAGAATGACAAGAATGTGACGCCTCTCTAGTTCTTGCTGAGATGTGTTTAGATTTTGAAAGGACAGCTCAAGGTTTCTCAGCTGTGTAAGCTAAACTGAACTCATCATGAAGGGGACACATGGTAGCATAGGTCTAAAAGTGAAAAGGAGCAGAAGGGCATGGTAGGATGGAGCAAAAGAGTCTGTATTCTTGAGTCAAAGTGGGATTTCAGAGAGATGAGGTGGATCTGGAAGAATTTTTGGCAGCTTTGGAGGAATGGTGGGTACCTTCAGTTTGATAGGCTGAGGTTCAGGACAGCAAAGATCAATGAAAATTTTGAAGAGAAGTACGGCAGGAATTTTAATGTCAGGGGCAGACCTTCTTCCATCCATTCTTTCCCCCACTCCACCTCAGCACCCACTCCCTCCTCTCTTCCATTCCCCATCACTCTGTCTGTTCCTCTTGCCCAACGCAGCCCAAATACTCCAACAAGAGCAACATGAGGGGCAGAATGCTGAACAGGGAAGAGCCATCTGGGAGCTGCCAAAACAGCCAAGGCAAGGCAAGAGCTGTCTCTCCCAGCCATTGCCACTTTGGCACTGCCTGTTTCCCCTGCTAAAAGCCACCTGTGGGTTTGCAAGACCCCAGCTGAACCTTTGACATGGAGATGAAGTCTTTTTGCCTTCCTCTCAGTCTAGCTTTGGCCTGGTGCAAAGCCCTCTGCAGTCCCTGGAAGACTTTGTAGAGGACCTCTGGCTGTTCCGCAGGTTTCTGCAGTGCTTCAATCTGCAGCATTCCTTCCCAAGATTCCCCTTCACTTACCACTGTTGTATTTTCCTGCCATGGAACAAGTGTCTTCCCAAAGCACGACCAGAGGCCGTGGGAGCACAGCCAGCCTCTCTGTGAGACCCACAACCAAACCTCTCCACTGTTCCTCCCAACAACCCCAGATGCTTTTCCCCAGCCCTGCCTCACAAGCTGCATCTGAAATGGCCCACATTTGGGAACCTCTGATTTAGCAGACAGCAAGACAGAACTATCAGGCTCATTTTACTGGGCAATTCAGTGTAATTCACAGGGCTGTTATGTCATTCATTGTGCCACTTGGTTCCTTCAGAAAAATTATTGTCCTCTGGAGGGGAGAAGCCTGATACAATGAGAAATTCTTTAAGAGCAAGAACAAGGACACCTGAGCAAACTCTCTTCCTTCAAGGAGTGCTGTGGGGAACTGTTCCTCATGCAGGAAGTTTTATTATTCCAATTCATTCCAGATGCTTAAAAACAAAAGGGTTTTCCCCACTTTTCCTTACTTTTGGAGACAGCACTTTGTTTGGAAGCCACAGATCAACATAATAAATGTTTCCTAATGGGGTTTTTTGACAGGCTGTGTATGTCACTTAGTGGCCCACTGAAAGCAAAGGTGTAAGCAAGCAGCTGCTGTTTGCCTGAGGATGGGGTTTCTTGCTAGGTGGGTTTGCCAGCCTCTGCCATGGTATGCCTTCACTCTGGCTCCAGTGGAGTGAGTACTGCACTTACTGTGCCAGAGCCACACTGAAAGCAAAATCCCACTCTTCCCTCTTCCCATTCCCTGGATGATTAAGAAGGCTGACATAACATAAAAAGGCCACCCCTCAGCCTTGTGAGGGTGCCAACTATTTACAGTCTGTCCCCCTACAGAAAGACAATTAACTTGCCTGGTGCCAGATAATCTCCATTTAGACTGCAGGGTGTGTTTGTTGTTGTGGGTGAGAATGGAGCACGGCCAGAGGGACAACACAGACTATTTATTTATATACTTATGCAGAGAGGAGAAAAGTGAACAAGGACTGTCCTTGGCTCAAAAGATGTAACAGCAGCTGGAGTCTGACCACACTGTGGGAGTGGGTCAGATTCTGCAGCAACTGAAGTTCCACCTTTCTTCCATACAGTCACCCTTTCCTCGTGGGCAACAAGTGGGGTGTAGACATACACAAGCCTTGAGTGGAACACAGACATAATGCCACAGGTCAGGTTGGGAATAGGTATCTCAAGTAAGGTTTAAAAATCAGGAATTTCTCTTCTTCTCCAAAATAGGCTGCAATATTATGACCACATTACATCTCATCATCACGGGGTTGTCCCCATTCTGCATCTTGTAGCAGCATATAAACCCACTGCCCAGACCCCAAACACACTCCAGGACACTCTTACCTTCTTCCTCTTCTTTGCCTTCACAGCACTCTCTTGCTTTTCTTTGGGCTGACTTAAAAAACACTCTGTAGGCTGCAAAACACATTAAAAAAAAAGAGGTAAGAAAAAAAGTCACCAAAGGAAGGCGAAGGAGGTAAGAGGAGATACAGAAACACTAATGCTGGGCTAGGAAAAAACAATTGAAACTGAACGTCCCCACCTGTAGATGGAATCAAATCCTTACAGCTATATGTATATAAACTAATTTTGGAATTGAGATTGCTGTTGCAACCAAGAAAGGGAATAAAAGAAGAGAAAATTGAAGCATTCAGGGTGCAGTCATAATTCCCTAAAATGGTGAAAAGCAGGCTTCGATACATTTAAAAAATCAGGAGGAAAATATGAACAAAATTACCACTAAATTCATATTTTTAATCTCTGCTGTTATGAATGATAATTTTTCTAAACTTTGCCAGTAGTGTTCTAAAATAACTGGGTCTAAGGTGAGCCTCCAGACAGTAAAAATAAAATGGAACTGGGCAAGATTAATTAGAAACAATCAAACTCTGAAGTTCCTTCTACACTTGTAATGCAAAATTTAGGAAAACATGTTTCAAATTTGTCCTACCCCATTCTTGCTTTGACTTTTCATAGCAGGCAGGGTCAAATACACACAAGAAAAATACATGGTGCTATCATTAACCCTCTTTTGTGCCTGAGTGGACAGGCTGAATTGGTCCATTTGTACCAGGGTCCCTGTTCAGTAATCCAGGGCTAGGATTTGACTGTAGACACCTAAAATTGTCCAAAACAGAGGAAGCAAGGCACAGACTTCTCTTGTTCTGAGTGTGGCAATTCTCTTTTCTTTTGCCTTCTTGGGGCCTTCTACCTAATGGAAGTGCACATTTATCTATATAGACAGGCTCTGGAACTTAGTAAGTGACTTAATGAAAAGCAATGGCAAAACAGGCTGAGCTGCAGGAAAATGCTCCACACCACTGCGATGCATTTGGCTGCAAAACTCTGCTCTTGTGAGAAAACGTGGAGAGGACTCATCACATGGAACATTAAAAAGCTCAGGAACAGCAAATCCAGCACTCCTCCTCGGGGAAAGCCTGAAAGAAAAGTATCTGTGGAAAAGGGAGCCTAGCTGAAAGCCAGAGAAGCTGCTCCTTTGTTACCTTGGGAAGGCAGCTCCAGTCAGGCCAAGGGGCACAAAGGAAAGCTAAGAGGAGTTGAGAGTATCTGGGCCTTTCTGAGCCCTCCTTGCACTGCCCCACCTTAACAGGAGGACACTTCATGGCAACTGCCGCTAAATGACCCAACCCAGCACACTCCTGCCTTTCCAAGCCCACTCTCACAGCCTTATCAGAAGCATTTTTTGAGGTTTAATTGTTCATATTATGCCTCCATTTCTCTTTTCCTCCCCACTCCCCTTGCTAAATTAGCTATTCAAACAGGTAACCACCATGCTCAACACAAATAAATGACCTCTTACTCTCTGTGCTGTGCTGCAGCCCCAGCCACTGCCCTTGCCAAGGTGGTGGTATTGTACAGCAGTGGCTCTGAAACTGGTTGAGGATTGAAATGAAACTTAGGAACTACCAGAGAAGGTTTGGCTGGGGACGTGCTACAGGTAAGTAGCAAGTAGGCAAAGCACTCTATAACTACGGCTGGAATGTAACACAGCCTGCATCAAAACCCATGGGAAGTTGTGACAGGGATTATATCTTGCCTCAACAACAGAAATCTGTCCCTGTGATTTTCTCAGGTATAAACAAAGATTATCATCACTAGAAACGAAGAAACTGCAAGTGGAAACTCACTTTAATTAACAAAATTGTTCCAGAGTTAATATAAGTTTTTGCTTTATTTTTGGTTTGTTGCTATTTTAAAAATCTCTGCCCTGACTCTGATTCAAGTGTTTTTAAAACACCACCATACGTTTCTTCATTCCTGTCCCTACCATTAGCATTCCCAGACATTGAGACTGAAACAGAGCTACCCTCTGCTCTACTCTTACACATCCCAGCTGTCCATAGATACTTAAAGGCCATTAGCCAGGTGTTTTAATAATAAATTTTATGTTCAACATCATATTTTATGCAGAGAACAAGCCTTTGCACTGCTTCAGTCAAGGGCTACCTACAAGCAATCAAAAAGTCAGAGAAGGGCCAACATGAATTTCTGTCCTCCAGCAGAGTATGATGGTTCCCTATCCCAGTGGTGCTTCCAGCATACTGAAAAATATCACTCATTCACTTTAGGCACATTTCTCCCTTCTTATACATCATGAACTGATTAACATAACTCTGCAAACACTCACAACTCCTATCTGTATGAGAAAAGAATGAAATGTGCCACACAGCTGAAAAAATTTCTCTGAAAGAAAAAACTTCTCACTGCTAAACCTTCATTCAAATATTTGAAAGTACCACCAAGTGCCATGGCTTCTTTTTTGGAGGCAGTATGTAACCCTTTCTTTCAAAAGCCACAGAAACAGCAGGCAACACAAGCACACAGCAGGCTTGTAGTCAAAGCCTTGCTTCCTTAGAGAGAAGCATGTTAAGACTCAAAATTGCCTCCTTTACACTGCATATATATATTTAGGCATAGCATATTATGCCTAAATTATTAGCCCAGCAATAGTAAATCCATGTTATTCAGACATTAAAAATAGTGACATAAAAAGAGAAATTTTGTGGTGGTGAATGGCTGTAAACTTACACGTCTTTGATGATCTGCAGTCTAAAATATTTCAGCATCTGATCTATCCTGAACTTCTGACCCTTATCCAAGCATTAGTAGCCTACCTACTCATGCAATAGCTCTTTGCATGCCACCCTTAAGAAAAGGTCATTTGCATGCTTTTCTTATGCAAGACACAAAGCAGACAACCACTGTTTTTTGACACGGCTCCCTCGTGCTCTGTGTTTTTATGCTATTTTTACATGGAAATTCTTAAAATGCAGAAAACAGGAAATTTGTGCCGAGACTAGTGATTTATGAACTAAAATGTCATAAATTCCTTGTTTGTTAATCACACACAGAGCATAAAATATTTCCTGTATTATATTTCTAACATGTTTTTTTTTCTTTACACGCTGCCAAAGTGATGGGAAATTCAAATGTCGAGTGAAAACAGTCTTGCATGTGTGTGAAAGTTTACATTCCAGGTCAGCCACATACTCTGACTTTTGGAGTTTGTGACAAAGTAAACACATCACTGCACCACTCAGACTGGAGAGAGATCACTCATTCCACTGTAAGCCCAAGCACAGCCTGCAGACTAGGAACATGGATGCTCCTAACTCTGTTGGGTTGTCTCGTGACAGGCTTTCAGGTGCCAAGTCCATTGCAGAACAACTTCCAGCCTCTGAATAAGGCAGCATGAGTAAAACGGGTTTTGTTATTTGCACCAGAACTACAAAACCACCAGCTTTCCATAAATAACTCTCAATTGGTATGTCTAAAAGACGGGCAATAACCCTTCTATGACTTTGAGCTCCCATAAATCATTTCCTTCTTGCAGTTTCACATCTAAACATCAAATTACCTGATTCCAATATGCAGGCTGATATTCTTTATATGACAGAAACAGCACTGGCAGGTGTTCTGCTACAGCTGAGCACTGCCAGGCTACCTTGGTAAGTAACTTGTCTTGGCTATCCTTTCTAAGGTTCTCATAAAAAAGGGTCAAGCAACCCTTCCAAACAAAGTGTCTTAATCTACTTCTAAATGCTTAAGTGAAAATGGTGATAAAAGGTGGTTCTGTAAGAATTCTCACTCCTCAGCATCTGACCCCCTGGTAGAGCATGTACAAAGGCAATACGGCTTTCTCCTTTATTGCTTGGTTCTCTTTCCTAATCAAAACATTGATCTCATTCAGATATTTGGATCACTTCACCTTTGGTCTCTTTGGAAAGACATCCAAAAGCATAGTAATTGCTACCATGTTGTTTACACTTCTCTGTTACAAAAAAAGAACATCCCTGCAAATGGCTTTCACTTGGGCAGCTGCCTAGGCATTACAGAGTGAATTTACTATTGACCTCGGGGTCAACATTGATATCCATAACCTCAAGGAGAGATAGCTTCCAATGTAATTTTAGCTCTCCGACAGCCACTCAGTCAATTCTCCTGGGTGGTATGAGGAAGGCAGAACAAATTTACCTTCAAACAAGAAACTTCATAACATCAGCCAACCTCTAGATGACTTTTTCCCTCAAACTGGGGTGATGCTGATGTTCTTTGGCATACTGAACAACACAGTTCCTCTTGGCATTAAATGAAGGTTTTAGCAGTCCAAGGGTAAGAAAACATCAATCCATGAAGAGCTAAATTCTTTTTCATTTGGACCTTGAAGTGGGGACATGCTTGGGTAGATAATCTGTATAACAAGTAAATACAGCTTTCCAGACTTTGTGTGTGCAGGGAAAGGGAAAAAATTGCAGGGAAGGATACTCAGTAGCCACATCCAGGCTTGTACCACTGGACAGTCACTTTATAGGACAGGCCTGGCAATCTCAACTCACACAAAACAATTGTGAAGTTATTGCTGAAATGTACTAAAATGTGACCACTTCCAAGTAAGGCAATATAATTAAAAAAACCCCAAAAACATGAACAGATCAGAGAGAGTGAAGAAAACTGTCCCTTTGCTGAAAAAAAAGACATTATGTTTCCCTATGTGTTATTGTTGTGCTAAACAATTACTTAATTCACAAACCTGCTTTCTTTTCTTTTTCACAGCAGGTTTGGATTCTGAATCTTGACATGTTGCTGTCCTGTCTTCACTTGCTTTTTCAATAGCTTCATCATCTGAAGGATCTAATCAAAAACAAAGAAGAGCTCTTGTAACTGTTTTTCAGATCCATCTACTCATCTTTGCATTCAAAAACAGGCATAAATCTCTAGATGAAAGGTTGTCACCATAATACAATCTCATGATTGGCAATAAATACAGCTGGTAACAAATACATTTTTCTTGCTAAGTTTGCTGATACTTCTTTCAAAATGAAGTTATTTCCTCCTACTAAAACAAGTCTTGCAGATGAAGGGAAAAAAAAATCAAGCAAACACATAAAAAAATGCACAAAATCTCCATTCCAAACTCCCAAATGCTTTACTGACACACATTAAAGAGGAAAAATTACAAGACAGGTATAATGTACTGTTGCATAAAAAATACACACACTTCCTGCAAGTACATTTTAATTGTGTCTCTTACTTCAGCAATAATTAGACAAAGGCACCACTCCCAAAGTTTGAGCGGAATGTCCACAAGACTAAAACATGCTTATGTTTTAAAAGACAACTAATGAAATTTTCGTGTCTCTACCCATTCTTTTCTTCATCTCTTTTATCTACAGAGAGACTTTGGGGAAAAAATAAATGCACAGCAACAGCTCCCTCCAACAGTGCCATAATAGTGCTTTAGATGCATTCAAACACAGACTTTTCTACTGGGGACTGAGTTACTTCCCTGATTATTCCCAGAAGTGTTTGCATCCATCAAACTGAATTAATTCAACTTCTGTAATTGGAATATAACTGCCCAACAGGTATTCAGTCATTATTCACAGCTTCAAGACCAAGTTATTTATTTTTAAAAGAGAGGAATAGAATGATTTTTAAGCATCATCTGAAGTACAGATGATATAACTGTATCTATGCATCACTAGCTGTGAACAGAGTAAACTGGCAATCTCCTGTATTCCAAAGCTGTAAATTCACAGCTTCAAGACCAAGTTATTCATTTTGAAAAGAGAGGAACAGAAGGATTTTTCAAGCATCATCTGAAGTATAGATGATAACTATATTTATGCATCACTAGCTGTGAACAGAGTAAACTGATGGCCAGAGAACATGAGAGAGAGAAAATCAGTTATAGCTGGTATTTCCAAATTCCATGTTGAAATAACTAATTACTGAAAAAAGGGTAAGTGAAAGGATACATGAAAAATATGCAAAACAATTTAAGTGAAAAGCGAGTAAAGGGATGAAAGGGGAGAGGGAAGACTTTCTATTAATCCACAAATGTAGCATTATATATTATATAGCAATAAGGCAGTGGCTTTAAAAATCCTAATGTGACAGAATGGGGAACAAAATGGTACATATTTATTCCTAGAAAGATACCATCTCATAATCTTCACTCCTTTTTCCCACCTTGAAAAGCCTGTGTCACAGTCAACTCCCTAAAGCTGGGGTCTGACAGCTGTTAGGAGTTCAAGAAAGTTTAGGAAGTTGAAAGAGAGTAAAGAAAATCAGGGAATGTTTTAGCAGGTTGGATGCCATTTCTAATGAAATCTTACTTGATATGGACTAGATTCTTGGCAAACCACAAGAGCTTTAGAAAGTGAGCAGCAACTGAGAAGAGAATTTGTTTTCTGTTCAGTAAGAGACTAAGAGATTCCCAAGTGAAGAGGGTAGATAAATATGTTAATGAACATAATTAAGACCAAAATAAATGCCATGGAAGAAATGACAGCACTTGTTTGCATCTCAATATAGGATGCAGCCGTTCTGAAATCTTAAAATAGGAATTCACCAAGAAAAGCCCTCGCTTTCCAGCTCCAGTGCAAATGCAGGAATGCGTGCAGCAAGTGAACATTACAGCTCAGCTGACCTGTCTGTTTCCTTCTCCTTGCAGACACAGCCTCAAAGCAGAGCTGAATGGACTGTGGCCACACAAGTGCCAGAGCCCAGGCAGAAATGATGTGCCTAGTCCTGTACAGCACAACACGTGGCAGCAGGTGAACAGGGCAACAAAGAAAGCTCAAAGTTTGTTGGACAAAGCTTTTCCTTTCCTTACATTACAGAGCAAATATCTTTCTCTTGAGGATGTCCAAGTGCTCCAGTACCATATGGCTGTCCCTGCACAGCAGCAGATCTTTCCTGCCTATTCCTCTCCAAAGTCACTGAGCACTTATGTCCCCCAGCCACTTTGGAATCTCAGATACAACACTTTGTTAGAAGAAGCTGAAAAATCACATCACTCAGCATACTCCAGAAAATTCAAAAGGTGTCTTGGTAATTCAGCATTACACTGGCCATTACCATGGCCTTGCTGTCCTGTGGATCACCCTTTCTCTGGCATATTTATTGTGCTATATCTTGGTAGAGCAGCTTCTGTATTTAAGGGATCCATCACTGATTTCTGTTTCATTTGCCCTGACTCCAGAGATACTGAAAGAGTGACCAACTTTAACACACACCAGCTCCACATCCCTGGGGTCTTGCACACACTGCATTGAAGCAGGCTGTGAAGAGCTAATATAAATGAAGTACATCAAAGAAATAAGAATTGCCTCTTCATCCCTTTTGCTCACTGCACTTGAGCCCCAAACACTGACTCCAAAATGAATTTGTGCATGTTTCTCTGAATTGAACTGCTGTGTGAGCTCTTTCCAATGTTTCACATTGAAAATAAATGAGAATTGCATCAAATAGATTCAGGGGAAGCTGCCAGTGATCTGCAAGCATTCCTTCTAAAATCCCACTTGGCATGCTCTGAAAGGCAAACAGGAGTTGTGTAAGTCTTAAATAACCTCTTCTCTTTCTCCCAACTGAAAGACATGCTGCTAGCAATAGCAATCTAAAACTGGACAAATGGTTTCCATGATCTGAAATAGCCTGACAATGTACCACCTGTTCACTGCTCATTTGAGTTTTGGACAGCACTTCATGGTGCAACGTCCAGTGCTCTCAGCAAGAAGTGAGAGAAGAGGGCACAGACTCAGATTCAACAAACATCAGTTCAAATTTGAGCATCTTTCTGCAGTACCTGAATATCTTTATTTCATACAACTGGAGAACTTTCTATCTATTCCAGAAACAATCACCCATGTCCCAGTCAGGACAGCAGCTCATCTCAAGCTGTAATTGTTTGTGACACCATGTCAGCTCCTGTGATGACAGGAGCATTTTGTTGCAGGCATCAAAGTACCACAGGCCAGACTCTGCCGTCCATGCTCACATTAAACTGTGTACCTTTCTCTGCAAATAGTTGCCTTGATGTCAGTGGGGTTACTCGCAAAATAAATCATAACTTGATGCAAATCTATGCAGAAGCTCAGAGATCACAAGCATGTCTGTAACAGACCAGCACTGTCTGCCCCACTTTGAGGTGTTGAGCTTCCCAGGAGACCTCTCTCTGCCAGAACAGGAGACTTCACAAATCCTTCCTTAATAATAAGCTGGTGAAAATGCAGAACCTAACTGATTAATAGAAAGTTGACTTTCATCTGGCTTGAGGTGCAAAGGAGTGGGCAGGCAGGTGCTGACAGGACACAATGCTTGCAGGGTGATGCTGTTGAGCACAGCAATTCTCTGCCTCTGCTTCCCTGAGACTTACACCATTCACACAACCACAAGGTCGTCCAAGGCATCAGAACAGTCACAAAATGCTCTCAATATAGAAAAATAAAGGGGAATTCCACAACTCTCCACGTGTTTTGCTTTGGTATTACATCAGCAGCATGGCACACACTAACAGGCTTCCCAGCCATGAAGTATTTATATTTGATCTTATTTTGAACCCTGCAAAAATGGAAAAAGCCATTTCTGCTTCACACATGCACACGCACACACACACACAGACTTCTTCATTTATATAAATCACTGTTTAAAATCAGCCACTGCACTAGTTTCTAACTTCCTTCAAATTTAGGACTAACATATGCATGTAGTGTAAGTACATAAATATGTGTACTATATACACATGTAAACACTCATGCTAACACATACACATCTGCATGTTTATACAGATTCACATAAAAAGTACAGAGATATTTAGATAACTTAACAGGTTGCCTTTAATAATCACCTTTATTAACTAATGTATTCACAACTAATTCATATTTTTTAATTATTTACTGTGGTATTTTTAAAGGCCACAATGATATAGGATGTAATGACATGCGCTTTGATGTCAATGCAATTTTGTTCATACAAAATAGCTGGTACATACAAATTTGCACTCGCTAGACTGATTCACAGTTACTGAGACTTCTGACCTTCACATGCCACTTTGCTACTCTGAAATTATTAACACAGGAGTTATAATGACAACAACATAAATAATTAATTCCTGTAAGAACTAAGGCTGACTGAAAAAGTGAAACTCTTCTAGGCAGGACACTTCCAAATGCCCCAAAATAAGCAAGAAGTTATGACTGAAATTAATCTTAAAATTCTTTGGGAAATGCAGGTTGTGGTTTGAGCCAGCCTACTACTGAAATAAAGATAAATGCAGCTCACAGAAATTATGCCAGCCATGGGAAGCTTGTTACAAGACAGGAATATGAAGAAAACAAAAGGAGCTTTTTGAGAGTGTAAGGAGGCAAGGTTCTTAGAACTCTTCATAATGTAGGAACAACCAACATGTAAGTAAAAAGAAAACTTGGAATAAAAATATGTTGTTTTGCATATATACTCAAAGATAAGTGAGAGAATAATTTCTGTTAGGTGTTTTTTTGCTTTGGTTTGGGGTTTTTTTTTGTTCTGGAGCTAAGCAAGATCAGGCTTGATCAGAGTCCAAAAGGCTCCCAGTGACAGAGTCCAGTACAGGACAAGTTCAATTCTTACCACTGAATTAATCTCTGTGACAAAATTTGAAGGGAACCTGTTTTACATGCCCACAAGGGAGAATCCCTCAACTTTTATTATATGTATTTCCCTGCAATCAGACATACTCTTGGTCAGAAATCCCTGTTTTTTTCCCTTATGCTTTCATCAGGGCTATGTATCAGTACTGAACTAGAATTACATGAGAACAAAGTTTGTACAAAACTTATTATGCCCCCCCACCCCTTTACCCCTTTCTG